TTCCCTTACCGAATATAAATACACAGCTACTATCCATGAGCAAAGCAACCACAAATCCCCAGCTGATCCAGGCTGATTACCAAATTATAATGTCTCAATACCCACTTCACCAGAAAATTTTCACTGACGCTTCAAAAACAACTCGTGGTGTAGGATGTGCATTCGTAACGAACGAGATCGCCCTTAAATTTTCTTTACATGAATCTGTCCCTATTCTCACTGTAGAACTTTATGCCATCTATAAAGCTCTTTCTTTCATTAAAATGGCACCTGGTGAAGAGTTTTTGATAATTACAGACTCTCTCAACTCTCTTATTTTTTTGTCGAGAATATATACCCATCACGTACTGGTAAATATGATTAAAGATGAGATGAATCAACTAGATAACAGGACAGTAACCCTCCTATGGGTTCCTTCACATAATGGGATTTCTGGAAACGATATAGCCGGTAAACTTGCCCGAGAAGCTGTAGAATATCCAGCATGTAATCTCAGTATGAAAGCATTGCCGATAGATCTCAAATCCTATTTCCATTGCAAAATTGTAGAAATGTGGAATCACTACTGGTCTCAAAAACCTTCCAAACTTAAGGAAATCAAGGCTACATTATATCCTTGGAAAAACAAAGTAACAAAACACTTCCATCAAGTCATAATTACCAGATTACGACTGGGCCACACTCGCCTTACGCATGAACATCTATTGAGGAAAGAACCGCCACCAAAATGTTTCGCGTGTACTTGTGACTGTTAAGCATGTTCTGGTAGAGTGCCCACTTTCACAGTTGAGAGACTGAACAATAAAATTCCCTCCAAACTAAGTGAAATTTTCCAAAATAGCAATACTAACAATATTGTTGAATTTCTTAAAGAATGTAACCTTTTCTTTAAACTGTAATGTAGGCAACTGCATGTTTCAGATATATTTTATATGTTTGCCGCTAATAGCTACGGCTGATGCGGTTTTTTCTAAATAAAAAAAAATCCAGCCATCGGTTTTTTCCAAGAACACAAATGTCTCCGAACCGGATATAATAATGTCAGTACAGACAATTCCGCTTTCTGCTTAGATACTTTTTTGAGGGTTGAAACGAACATCAGCATGTCTTGGCACAATCATGTCGCTGGAATTGTAAAGACTGCTTCTTAAAAGCTTGGAACACTGTTCCGAACCAGAAAACTGTACATATCAGCAACTTTTGATGCTTTATAAAGCTCAGACCTTCTTTGGAGTGTTGTTCTCATGTATGGAGCTCTACCCCCAAACATACTCTGAAGCTGTTGGATGCCATTCAGAAAAGAACCATCCGCCTAATTGGAGACGCGAACATTACTTGCACCTTGATAGTCTGGAACACTGAAGAGAGGTTGAGGATTTGTCTCTCTTCTATAGATACTTTCACGGGAGGTGTCCAAATGACTTGCCACATTTGATTCCAACAAGAGCGGTACTCTCCCACTCTCCCACACAATTGCATCAAATGATTGAGAATGATATTAGAAAAGTTAAAGATTGGTGTGATGCTAATAGGTTGTCTTTCAATATATCAAAAACTAACATCCTAACTTTCAAATGTAATCTTCAAGAACTTCATATAGGAAATCAGGTGATAAGTTATATGTCGGAAACAAAATTCCTGGGTTTATATATAGATGATAAATTGAAATTCGAAAGTCACATTGAAAAACTCAGAAGNAAATATGAGTTGCAGTCCTCGTAGTTCTGGTTCCCTTTCATTGGAAGAGCTTCATGAAGCAAGATCCGAATGGAACCCTCTACGAAAGCCTTCTTCATTTGGAAGGATCGATCGCAGCTTGAGAAATGGTTCTTATGGAGATTCTGTGAAAAATGTTTTTCCTTACGAATCAGTAGAGAGTTGTCCTGAAAATCTAGAAAAATTGGATTGGATAATTTAGGAAACACTTGCTACATGAATAGCATTTTACAAGTGTTGTTCATGACGAAGAATTCCAAGAACGAGGTTTTAATGATGAACGAGAACGGGAATGTTTCCTACTTATTCATCAAACTCAAACATCTGTTCATGCAGCTGTAGTTTCGTAAAAATATATCATCTTTCCCTCCAACCGATTTCCTGGAGTCTTTGAAGTGCGGTAGATACTCGTTAGGACAACAAAAAGATTGTTCCGAATTCTTGGGGTTCTTGTTGAATACTCTTCGCGAGCAAAACAATAGCAAAATCAATATCATCTCGTCTTATGTTCGTAAATCTTTTGCTGGAAAAATACTCACTTGTTCACTTTGTAGTAAATGTTCAAGAGGTAGCGAAATCTTATTGAATTTCTGGAACTTCAACTAGCGTTTCCTAATATTACTAATAACCAGTCTGTGCAAAGCTTATTGTTAAATCATCTGAAAATGGAATTTTCAACAGGTGATGATCGACTGTATTGCCAAGAATGCGCCTAAGTAACTTACTGTTATAGGAAATTTCTTTCATTTTTTGATCCCTGTTATCCTGTGACTAAGAGGCTTGCCTGGGAATAAAAGCTGGTCTTCGCTCACGTTTTTTTAAAGTATTTGTTCAATTTGATAGAAATATCAAACTTGGAGAAAAACTGACCTACAATGATTTTTCGACAAATGTCATGTGATGCCTCTGGAATTATCAACACCTTGATCTATTGTCATGAAAAATAGCCCATTGTTACTGCTGACGAAGACACCTAGTTTAATTAAAATCGGTGGAAAAACTTTTGTGTAACTATTAAAAGAAAAAGAGACACTCTGTATAAAATATCTCTGAATGATACTATCTCGAGATATCTCGTATAATAAACGAGGCAAAAATAGAAATACATCAGGAACATAAAAAGTGTTACATTATACGAAAAAGTGATTTTACAAACCTTTTGCAATTTGCTTCAGGTAACAAAACTCAACTCTTAATGTCTCGAGTTCAGGAACATTCTTAAGAGCTTCGTAGAAGTTGGGCCCAATTTGACATCCGTTGGGTCTAGATGGATCTAAATGTACATTCACTGTGTTTCTCGATTGTACTGTACCTACATAGCCGACTTTCACGTCCAAACTTTGTCCTCTCATGCACTTTTTTATTAGATCGTTATGCACTGTGTCACAAGTGTGAACCATTGTCACCACATTATAATGAGAAGATACAACACCGGTGCTAACAGGATGTATGAGAATTATTCCTGTAATTTTTATGACAAGGAACAGGCAAAACAAAAGTTGGTTCATCATGTCGTCTTTTATACTGCTTTTAATATGAGGAATACGTTTATAATTATAAATAACTGCTTATTGAGATAAGGGAGTTCAAGAGTGATACAAAATAACGATTATAATTGGGTGGTAATCTAAGCAGAAAACGTGATTCCTTGATGTTAACTGTTAGAATTCCATGCCTCAACTCCAGCAGACTAATTACTTTCCAATGACACCCATTTTTTTTGGTGAACATTTTCTTGTAAGTTCAACAGAATGAAACAATATTCAGATCATTTATTAGTCTTCGAAAGACATATTTATTGTGGTGAATTTTAGTTTTTTGAACCTTCTTCAATCTGAATGTATGTTTTCAACAGAAGATAAATGTTATCAAAAAACTGAACTTTTGAACATTTCATCGAAAGCAATACCAGAAGACTCAATATAGTATCAATAAATTTCCATTTTCAACGAAAATTCTGTTAATTGGTTATACCATGGGAGCAATCCAGCATGATGAAGGTGAGGTTATACTATTATAGCTATATAGTATACTAATAGTATACTCTTTATATAGCTCTTTAAAATAATATTTCCATTATTAACCTAACTATTACATAAGGACACACATAAGACTAGAAGATAAGGCAATATTGTGAAATTAATTTAAGACATTCAAGGCGCAGGTATAGTCGAGGTAACTGGTATTTTGCATACTTAAAGTGTAGGCGTTCTCAAAGGCCAAAAAAAACAATACAGAGAAATGAAGCCGCTGCCAACTAGTCCACGTGCACTGAAGAATTGGCGGTTCGTATTGAATGATTTTCATTAACCGAGTTTTATGAATGGCTGACGGGTCATAAAATAAAATTTGAAGTCATTGAAGTTACGGTGACGAATAGCATGCGAGGTCGTGTTGTCGATGTTCAGTTCAGGAACTGATGGCGATTTGAGTGTTGAAATTCGATGTAGGTGTAGTTATAATTACTTGAAATTTTTCTAATCTGTTTAAAATGTGGCGTCCTTGGACAAGTACTAATAGTAATAACGACTGTGATAACAACGCAGACTTTTCCTGTGTAGTGATTCCAATAGCGATGGCGAGCAATGCGAAAAAGAGATGCCAATGAATAAGATTCGGATGCATTTGAATATCGAAACATAGAGGTTATGTTTCAACGTATATAAGAATCTACATCTCAAATTTATTATTACAAGCAACATCAGATTTGATCGAAATTCCTATTTGGACGAAACTTGGTATGACACTCACGACATAGTTACGAAAGGGTGGACTGATGGTTCGGGAATGTGTACGCCTAACATGCCTGCAAACAAAGGATCGCGTCTAATTATTGTGCATTGCGAAAGAAGTAAAGGATGGGTTCTGAATTCTTTGAAATTATGTGGAAAAAAACTTGAGGACTGCAATAATGACTATCATAAGAACATGGAAGCTAATATTTTTGAGAAATGGTGTGAAAACCATTGATCCCAAATTCGGATGGGAATAGTGTAATAGTTCTTGACAACGCTTCCTATCATTCGTGACAGCTCATCAAAGTACCAAATAAAAATTCGAAGAAAGGTGAAACACAAAGTTATATGGATAACAATTTGTATTTTGAAGATTACTATACCAAAAAATAACTACTTGAAGTTTTACAGACATAAACATTCGAAAAAGTGTATGCACTTGAGAGTGTTGTCGAAAAGTATGGACACACCATACTGAGACTTCCCCCCTCTTTTTGTGTTTTCAATCCCATCGAGTTGATTTGAGTAAAATTGAAATGAAGCATCAGGCTTAAAAATAATTTTATAAAATTTGATAAGAAGGTAATAGAGCTAATCAAAGAAGAAGTATCTAATATCACCGAAGAAGACTGGCAGAAAAGGATTAAAAAAGTAATTTGGAGATTGGACACTTCCATATTGATGGTGGGAATAAATTCATTATTGATTCAAATGACGACAGTGATAGTGAAACGGAGAATATGGAAGAGGAATTATCAAAAGCTTTCAAAGAAAGTTAGTGAAGTGTTTTTGAAGCGATCGATTGTTTATATATGTGATTAAGTAGTATTCAGTGGTAGTATTCTTATAAAATCAGAAATGATTATTGAATAACAAGTATATCATTGAAGGGGAACTGTTGGAAGTTAGGTTGCACTATAGATATCGTTTACTTCAACTATACCTAGAAGAGGTATCTATGGTATAAATGAGGATGACATTGTAAGTATATTTAGTTTAATCTTCCTCTTGAAGATGATCACTCGGTGATTGAAACACGTGTCGGGGTGTTAAAATAACAGTTTGGTGTTGGGAAAAACCTCCAGTAATATTCATTACTACACTAAAGGTTCCAAACAGTGCATCACAAAAGCATTTTCTATAACTAGGTGTTTAATCTTTCAGAAATATCTGTCGATCTGAATATATTGGGGATCTTCAGTTTCAGTACAGATATTAATATATTTCTCCTATGATATGTCACTCCAATTTTATTGTCAACATGACTCATGACTGAAACCGTATGAATAAATTCACCTATTCTCTTTTAGGTTATGAAGCCATCTACTCGAATAATTCGAATGAAATAATGAATGTTCATGAATGAAAAATGTATGTTAGATATAAAATGACTTTGAAGAACTCATTATGTGCACACCCTGTGCTTGAACTCTGTTATCGGAGAAAATAACATTATTAGCATTCTCAAACACAAACAGTCTTGGAAACAGTTTTTAAGTGATCATGACCATTCCATGTCCTTCTCGCTTTTTACTTTTACTTTCACTCCTGCAAATGTTGAGTATAAATCCAGGCATCTCTGAAATATACCTCACAAGTCGAAAAACCACTTTTCCTTTGAATGAGAAGCTGGATTTTCTCGCACCTCGTGGTTGCTCTTTCGGTTATTATCCAGAATTCAGAATGACGGAAACGATGAAAACATTCAGAATGGAATTTTGTGATGTGAAGGAATTATCACTAATAGTAATATTTTCGAATAGGGTCCATGAGCTAGCAATTCAAACTTTAATTAGTTCAAACTTTAGTTCATTGTCTTGATGAAACAATACTTTTTTCCCCACCAAATGCGGCCGTTTTTGATTGATTTCTTCAGTTAAACGTTGCATTTTTTAAGATAGTCAATGAAAATTATCCTACGTGCATCCCAAAAAACCCATGCCTTGACCTTGCTAACAGATGAAACGGTCTTTGCCTCCAAAGGAGGCGGCCATGGAGATCTTTCTAGATCAACTCCCTCTCCACATTTTTTGAAGAGATAGGCTAGATGTACTGCAAATAGGAAAAATATGTAGGGGCAATTGAAGAATGCACATGAGTCAACAAAATACACGATATTACAGCAACTTCTTCTTCTACAAGTGAGAAACAGAGCAGACCAATCAGTTCACATTGTCCTTGATAAAAAGCTCACCTGGAACGCTCACTTAGAAAAAGTTTTGCACGAAGCCAGACTGACCCTATGGCCATGTGTTGTGGTAAAACTTGGGGCTTAGGTCTCAAACAAATCCATTGGATTTATGTGATGATTGTCAGACCAATGATCTCTTATGGTGCAATTGCTTGGTGGCCGAAGACTTTACAGAAACGGCCCAACCGAAGCTCTCTGGCTTACAGGGATAGCCTTGTCTGGCTATCGGTGGTGCCATGAGTACCACACCGTTTGTGGCCATGGAGATCCTTCTAGATCTACCTCCTCTCCACATTTTTCTGGAGATAGAGAGACTAGATGTACTGCATATAGACTTGTGCACATTGCCAATTGCACAAATCAATTTTGATGCAGAGTGCAACAGACTATTGGTTGACACTGGATATCACAGCATTCTGGGAATGACCTCTGACTTCATGCCTCCAAATGTCAACTACGAACTACCTTATAAAGTACTGTTTCCGAGGACTGGATCCTCCGAGAGAAGGAAATATTGAGAGCAGATAGTTGTTGGTTCACAGATGGATAAAAAACACCTTCCGGTTCTGGTGCAGGTGTTTTCAGTCGCAGATCCAGGACAGAATATCAATCTGCCTAGGAACCTATGCGACTGTATTCCAAGCAAAAATTTACGCTATTGAATTGTGTGCTAAGTGAATGTAAGAATCCAACCTCATATACAAGTTAATAAAACTATTCCCGAATAGTCAAGCGGCGTTAAAAGCTCTTGGCTCCTACCGAGCAACGTCTAAATTGGTAGCAAATTGCGAAAAACGACTCTCCTCGATAGGAAGACTTAACAGATTGTCTCTGGTCTGGATTCCTGGCCGTACTGGCCTAGAAGGTACTGAGGCTGCTAATTCTCTTGCAAAGGAGGGTGCTGCAAGCAGCTTCATTGGAACAGAACCTGTTATTGGCATCACTTTAGATAAGATTAAACACCTGGATGGCAAGAAGATTTATGGACTTCTGGCAGAATATTCCAAGATTGGCTCACTCCAAGGTGTTTAATCACTCTTTGAAGCTTGATAAAGTTGTTGGACTACAGCAGAGATGAACTACGATGTCTAACAGGCCTTCTCACAGGTCACTGTCGTTTGAATCGTCATATGCAGAGACTTGGACAGTCAGAAGACAGTGTGTGTCACCTCTGTTTGGAGCAGAGCATATACTTTGTGCCTGGGGACCAAATCAGGTTTTTGGAGTCCGTCAGAGCCATACTCTTACCATCTGACCTGAAAGACCACCCACCATACAAACTAATCGGCTTCGTTAAGAAGCTGGGTTTATTTGGTGTGAATGTGAACCACAATACTTGCCACAACACTGGCAGGTTGCGGTGGAGGATCGAATAGACTCACTCACTTTGGACCTAACCTAACCTAACCTAATCCTGCCTACTATGGCGTCGTATGGAAGGTTTGAAATATGGAAGAGTGTGTATGAAAGAGCCAGTTTTGAAAAACGTCAGGTGATGGTTATTCAATAAAAATGGTTTTTGTGAATAATTAGTTTGATAGTCATGGTTATCCAATCAGAATGAAATGAGATAAAATGACATAAATTAGTAATATAGCAACTCAAAAAAAGGGGAAATCGGCTATTTCAAAGCAACATGAGTATGAAAGAGCTGGCTATGTGCTATGAAAGAGCCAGGTTTCTCTTTACAGCAAATGAAAATTAAGTAATAAACGTTTAGCAGGGATGATCTGTTCAGGGTTGATTTCAGTGAATATAGGGCAAAAAACGATTTGTTCAATCTCTGACATACGCTGTTGATTTGATCAGACCACATAAATGTTTCATCAATAATTGTGCCGAGAAAGGTATTGGTCGGGCTGGTAGTGACCATAAAATTATCTATTTTGATTGATATATTATTGGACAGCGACCTAGGATTTCAGTTTTTTCCGAATTGAGAATTAGACGGTTATTGTCGCACCACCAAAGAAATTGTTTGACAACATTGTCGATTTTGATAGAAATTTCCTCCAGTGTGTGGCCAGTAATCACCATCGAGGTGTCATCAGCATACATGAACAACCTGCCTCCTTCTATGAAGTTTGGTAAGTCGTTCACATAAGAGAAAAAGAAGTGGTCCTAGGATACTACCCTGGGGGTTTCAATATCAATAACTTCACCTTCGGAAAGTTCCCTTTCAATTTTGCCAATGCCTTACAAATGACATTATCCACTTATTTGCCCGATCTCTAATACCCAGGATATTGAGTTTAGTTTCTAAAATGTCTAGATTTATCACGTCAAAAGCACGGGACAAATCAAAAAATATTCCTACCATATAATTATTTACATCCATTTCATCACATATGTATTGCACCAACTTATCAAACTGTAAAATTGCTTATTTCCTTGAAAATCAGTTATTTAACAGTCTTAAATCACAATCTTCCAACAATCTTAAGCAATAAACTATTTATCCCTGGTAACAACCTGATCAAATTCGAACATTGCTTATTTCTATTAAAATCACAGTTATTTATCAGTTCCAAGTCACAATCTTGCAATGTTTTTGAGCGTCTCAATACAATAATATATCTTTTTAATCAGTCTTCTTATGAAATGATCAACAAGAAACATTTTTGCCAAAAGAAATCTGTGACACCTCCAATGCCACAATGCCCAATCATCACAAATCTTACACTGGTACCAATCTACTTTGCTCTTAGAATAATCTCCATCACACACGATAAAATAATTTTTATCTTGCTGTAAAGTCATCTTCTTGTTTTTCAATTCCAATAGATTAATTTCATCATCTGAGCTTGTTAATGAGGAATCATGCAAAGATATGTTGGCGCTGGCATCACTGAACTCATCATGTGCCTTGGAACTTAGTTTTTTTATATTTTGTTTTGTTGACATTTTGTCAACACCAACTGTTCTAGGTTTATTTTTCTTCTCTTTCTCCCCGTTTCATTTTTTTCTGAAGCTGGATTAGGTCTGTCGGTCACATATGCAAGGAACGCATCGTCAGAAAATATGTTAGAATTTAAGGGATATATGCCAGTTTTGATGAATTTTTGAGGAACATTTTTTAGGCTGAAAGCTGCTATATAGGCATCTCTAACAAAGTGCGCAATTTGGCAGTTTGTAGTGTATTGAAAAATTCTTCGAAATGATATATCATGTCCCTATACCTAAATCGTCAAGTTTTCTCAATAAAATCGCTTCTTCTAGAAACATTATTTTTTTAGAATTTGGATTTAGGTAGCAGTGGAATTATCAAGCTTATAGCAGTTCGGTTACTTTTATAAGTAATTTACAAAGAGTTATACCTTCTATTGAAAATACCATCTCTCGTAAATTTTGATTCGTCGCTCCAAATTATTTTTGACAAAAATTCCCGATCTTCCTGTGTATGAATCAAAAGGGATTCACAAAAATGCAAAACGTTAACAGTATTGTCCTCATTTGAAGTAATAAGTTTTGGTAATGTTGAAGGCGCTTTCAACATGAAGCCATAGTTAAGGAAATTATTTTGTAATCTTACAAATTTCCTCTCGTTCATTGGTGTTAATTCAGGATACATTTGGTTGAATTTTCTACAAGTTCTGGCAATGATTTGATCACACTGTCCGTGTATAATAAATAATTTCATAAGAACTTCGTTTAAATAATCAATATTTGCATTCATTTTTGGCGATTTTTTGAAACACCGTCAATAACCATTTATCAATTACTTAGCAAACAGCAAACTGTCATAAGCTTGAAATTTCACGGCTACCTAGAAATCAAATTCTTTAAAAATTATTTTTTGCACAACTGTTATTGAAAATCTCTTTGATAGAAAGACTTTAATCAGAACACCTACGAAAAAATCGTTTAGAAAAGTTCACACATGCAGTTCGTGCTATTGGTAATATTGAATCCCTGTGAAGTTACTGACGATGACGAAATAGCATTCAGTCCAACTGTAGGAAGTCATTCATGACTAACCAATAATCTTCCTTAAAATAAGTTGGCATATGTTGTTGTAACATATGCCTTGTAATAAAAGATCTTGTGTTCAAATCCCATGGACCCTATAATTTTTTTTATTATCAGCAGTAACGTTATACAAAAAAAAATTGTATGATACATTTGTTAAAAGTGATTTTATTTTGCTTGTGAGTTTGCTCCACTTGCTGACGCTCGTTTTGCAATAATTCCCACTCACAAAAAAATGCCACTATCAACACTTGTAGGTAAAACATGAATAACTATTTTTCCATAAAAACGGCTTTATTAAGAAAACTTGACGATTCAGGTATAGGGACATGTATATTATCTTGAAGAATTTTTCACCATCTTTCAATTTATCGAGGTTTTCATTTGAAAAAATGAATTTTCGACTACTTTTATTTATAATGGAAATAATAGTAGTTTTAGCACGCACTGTATGATGTGGAGTCGATTTCTTGGTGTTATTTGGATATTTCGAGTTTGTCCAAACTATCATCAAAATATCAACTTTTCATGAATTGAGAGCACTGATGTACTTAATTTCAATTAAAGCTATGTTTTGGACTATATTTAGCACAATTTATTTTTATCTCGAAAACAGATAGAGATAGGTATAGGACATTATGAACAAAAAAGTATTGAAATACAAGAGCGATTCCAATAATGTATTAATATACGAAGTGTTTCAAAAAAAATATAATTGCTAGGACTTTTTGATAGAAGTGGCAACGCCGCAATGCTGAAAATATTTTAGATCGATAGAACAGGTGAGGAAATATGAGCGGTGAAATTTTCAGAAAAATCATGCTTTGGGTTTTCCAGAAACGTCTAACCTACCATCGACCGTGAGTCACGCTGTATATGAAACCTTAAACGAAGAGAGTCCTGTAGAACCTTCTTCAAAAAAAATATTATTCTTACGGTAACTGCATTATTTATACTGAAATCTGTGTGTTCAATAAATAAGCATATATTAAATTTTGCTGCATCCTCTTCACATTATAACAACCGAAACTGCACATTCTGAAACTTACTGTGCCAACTTAAAACATTACCAGAGACTCCATATTTTACAACGGTGTAAAAATGTGTACAAACTGGTAACATTTTTAGTGGCCTAAAAATGTTACCAGTTTTCCCATTCAACAGAATTCGTAGCATCAATAATTACGTAGAAGGCCATGGTGCCGACTTAATTTGGAACACCTTGTATACAATGTGTAGAATATGCAAAAAAGTAACTTTCAGACATTTTCTTTCAGAAATGTTCCAGAAGGTTCGTAAATTGGAATATCTGGCAATCGATCACAATGGCATCGAATCATTTGAAGAGGAAGCCTTTGTTCACCTGCTCCAAATGAAACATCTGAACGCATCTGATAATTCCCTGAATCATTTCAACGCCGAATGGTTCATTCTCAATAAGAAATTAGAAGTATTGGAATTTTCACGAAACAAATTCCAACGAATACCAGGAAAGGCCTTCGCAGGTTTGAGTGAGCTACAGGTGGTGAATTTCGATTATAATGAGATTGATTACATTGAGCCTGGGTCGTTCACGGGGATCAACAATTTAGCTCATCTAGGATTGAGGAACAACAAGCTCAAAAGTATCCGAGCAGAAATATTTCCCAATCAAGTTAGAATCGAGTACTTGCTGATTGGTGGCAACTACCTCAATTTCCTCCCAAACCAGCTCATGGAAAGAGTATCACATGGCAGGATCCTCATGGACATCAATCCGTGGAAGTGTTCTTGCATGGAGAATATCTATTTTTGGCTATTCAGAACGCATGCCGTAATGGAGCAAGACACTCTGTGTAGTAGAGAAGACGTTCCTGTTTGTGCAAGTCAAAGAATTTTTTCCTCTTCGTGTCAGGAATCTGTAGATGAAGGACTAACACGGAGGTTTATCAAAGCTTTAACAAAACTGTCCACTCCTATCGAAGAAAGGTGTACAAGACTATTGTACTTCAATCAATTGGAAGGATGGTCTTTCGACTGAGTGAAAATATTGCTGAGGAAATTTGAAAATTTCTATAAATAGTTCTCAAAACATGTTCAAAAAACTGTATATCAATATATTTTTTCATAAGCTACAGATTACGATTTGATTTCCAAAAACTTCCATTTTCAAAAAATATATCACGACATGTTTCGCTATCATAATAAATTTTTAGTAGTAATAGTAGTAGTATATCAGAAAGAATGAACAGTTTCATCATGAACCATGGTAAATTTCAACCTAAATTCACTCTACGTAATTCATATGACTTGATAAATGAAATGAAAAACATAACTCTACCTGACAACGCAAAATTAATATTCTTCGATGTGCAGAATTTATTTTCCAGCGTATCTTCTGACGTTATTATTATTTTAGTTATAGAATTATTAGATAAAAATCGAGTCCCAGTTTAGGAAAAAGAACTCATTGAACTTCTGTTGGTTTTTTGTGGTTTAAAGGCGTCCACTACGAGGTCATTGGCCTTCTACTATTATTTTGTTTATCATTTGCTTTCTTGTTCAAATTTTGGGGTATAGCCCAATTGCTTTCATGAATTTCATAATTCCACCCAGACCTTCATTATGATCTTTCAAACATTCCTTCATAGAATTTGGTATTTCAAGTCGTTGTCTAGCTTCATCATATTCTGTTTTTATAAACCAAACAAAATTATTTTCAATTCAACAACATTTATACCTCTTCAAAAGGTACAATTATGGGAAATCCGTTGAGTCCCTTACTTGCGGAAAAGTCATGAATAACCTAGAGAAGTCGATTCATAAGCATCCTTTATTTAAGTATTTCTTGTACAGGCATAGATATGTGGATGACGTTTTGGTATGTCACAGGTACTGAGAGACAATTAGATATCTTTCATAGGGATATTAACAAAATTCATGAAAACATTAAATTCACTATTGAAGAAGAATGAGACAATTCAAACTCAAGTCAATTTCTACCCATCCGTACCCACACAAAAAAGCATCTTATAATATCATGATTCATAGATTAGTCAACGTTTCTCTTTCAATAGATAATTTTATTAAATAACTCAATATCATTAAGCAAATTAAGCTGAATTAATAAACAAAACCCTACCAATTAAAAGTCTTCGCAAAAGCAATTCGGGAGGTTTTTCCAACTGATAAGTCAGATAATCATTTGAATGTTGTTTCAAAGTTTGGTTTCCAAAGAAATAAAATATTACAAGCAACATCAGATTTGACTGAAATTCCTTTTTCAATTGTACGTGAAATAGTCAAACACAAATTTTATGAACGCAAGACGCGATGTAATACAGGATTACCAAAACCTTTAGATGTTCATCTTATAAAATCATCGAAAAAAAATATACGACTGTAGCAATGGAAACGAGATTCCTACAACTGAAATCATAGGGAAGAAATTGAATACTTCCGGCTATAACGTGAGCTGCTGTGACAAAACTCTTCAGAATTGGATAAATAAACTAGGATTTAGATTCAAAAATAACTAGATATAGACAAAAATAACTAGAAAATGACAACGGCAAATTATTTAATTTGAACGAAACTTGGTATGACACTCACGACACAGTTACGAAAGGGTTGACTGATGGTTCAAGAATGTGTACGCTTAACATACCTGCAAAAGTCTACGGTCTACGACAATTCGGGAGGTTTTTCCAACTGATAAGTCAGATAATCAAAAATTCAAAACTTAAACATATTTTTGACAAAAAAGTGGCTTCATTTTTGATTGAACAAGATATTAAAATTGCATATAGAACAGGTGATGCATTGTAAAAGTTAGTTAAAAATGATAAAGACAAAACATCCCAATTCAAGAAACCAAGGGTATATAATTCAAATTGTGGAACTTGTACCAAAGTATATATTGGTTAAACTGGCAGAATGTTTGGGAATCGCATCATAGAACATCATATGAGCTAAGTAAACGAGAAAACAAATTCAACATATTCAAATCATCTTTTGAAAATTTAACACAGAAAATAAAGGTTCTGACCTTAATTATTTGGATGCCATAGAAATTAATAAGTGACCAATGAATTTAAATAGATCACCATTACTGAACATGTTTTCTCAGAAACTGACATTGTAATATTGATGTAGAATTGATAGAATATGCTCTAGGTAATCATGATTGAAGAACTTTAATGATTTATCACTGGTTGATTTTATTTATATGACCGGTTTCGGGTTTGACCCCATTATCAAGTATAAAGCTGCGATGTGAAGTTTGAAAACTCGGTATTTATCAGGAGTTTGGACAGGTATTTGATAAGTAGTTGGATGCCAACTTTTAAATTCACCACTGAAAATTCTTGGGGTTGGTTAAACTTATAAATTCATGAGAGGAAACCTACATAAATCGAGTTGCTCATTTAAGGGTATATATTGTACCCAAACTGTCGAAAACACAATATAGTCCAGTATAGTAGCACCAACTACGCAGGCAAACGTCCAACAAATATTCAAAATTATTTCTCAAAATACAAAATATCAATAGCTTTCATAAGTGATAATAATTTTGATGCAAAACCTAAACTGGATAGAATGAAAAAATCAGGTTTATATAAAATAGAGTGTGGCGAATGCTTTGCAGCATATACAGGCTAAACCGGTAGAAATTTTGGCATAAGGCTGCATGAACACGTCTGTTTGGACAAAATATCTACAATGTATGAACATCTTCAAGAATCAAAACACAAGATAAATAAAGATATCCTCAAAATCCTACACATATGTAATAGAGGGAAGAAAATGAATTCGTTGGAAGCCATGGAAATCAAGCAAATCAATTAAAAACCAGAAATATATACCCCTAAATGAGCAACTCGACTGATGTAGGTTTCGTCTACTCTACTGTACTCGTCTACTGTAAGACGACGGAGGTCGAAGCGTGGAGGTAGAGGGGCGGTCTAAGCAATGAAGCGACATCGCCAAAAACGAGACCCGAACGAAGGCAGACGTCATTGATGGTTGTAACAGTTTTGCGAATATTCAGTTACTGTATTTTCAAAGTAATTACTAGCTCTTGCCCGCTCTTATATTAAAGTATAGTCGAAGCTACTGAACCTAGAATCTTGAAATATGCAGGTAGGTTCTTAAATGACAACGGCAAATTATTTAATTTGAACGAAACTTGGTATGACACTCACGACACAGTTACGAAAGGGTTGACTGATGGTTCAAGAATGTGTACGCTTAACTTACCTGCAAACAAAGGATCGCGACTGATCATTTTGCATTGCGTAGGAGGTAAGGAATGAGTTTCGATTATCATTAAGCAAATTGCAGTAAACAACTGATTTGAAGCTGAACTAATAAACAGAAAACTTTTCAAAAAAAGTCTACGGTCTACGACAATTCGGGAGGTTTTTCCAACTGATGAGTCAGATAATCAAAAATTCAAAACTTAAACATATTTTTGACAAAAAAAGTGGCTTCATTTTTGATTGAACAAGATATTAAAATTGCATATAGAACAGGTGATGCATTGTAAAAGTTAGTTAAAAATGATAAAGACAAAACATCCCAATTCAAGAACCCAGGGGTATATAATTCAAATTGTGGAACTTGTACTGAAGTATATATTGGTTAAACTGGCAGAATGTTTGGAAATCGCATCATAGAATTTTAACACATAGAAATTAAAGGTTCTGAGCTCAATTATTTGGACATTAATAATTGACCAATGAATAAAAATAGGTCACCATTACTGAACATGTTTTCTCAGAAACTGACATTGTAATATTGATGTAGAATTGATAGAATATGGTCTAGGTAATCATAGTTTAAGGATGAAACTTAGGTATATAAAAGTTGAGAACATGATTGAAGAACTTTAATGATTTATCACTAGTTAATTTTATTTATATGACCGGTTTCGGGTTTGACCACATTATCAAGTATGAAACTGCGATGTGAAGTTTGAAAATTCGGTATTTAGCAGGAGTTAGGACAGATATTTGATGAGTAGTTGGGCGAACCGGGATGCCAACTTTTAAATTCTTGGGGTTATTAAACTTATAAATTCATGAGAGGAAATCTACATAAATCGAGTTGCTCTTTTAAGGGTATATATTGTACCCAAACTGTCGAGAACACAATTTAGTCAAGTATAGTAGCACCAACTACGCAGGAAAACTTCCAACAAATATTCAAAATTATTACTCAAAATACAAAATATCAATAGCTTTCATAAGTGATAATAATTTAGGTAGAACTTGTTTAATACAAAACCTAAACTAGATAGAATGAAAAAATCAGGTGTATATAGAATAGAGTGTGGCGAATGCTTTGCAGCATATATAGGCCAAACCGGTAGAAATTTTGGCATGAGGCTGCATGAACACGTCTGTTTGGACAAATTATCTACAATTTATGAATATCTTCAAGAATCAAAACACAAGATAAATAAAGATATCCTCAAAATCCTACACATATGTAATAGAGGGAAGAAAACGCGGGCAATAATTAGTATTCACATAAAACTGAAATTACGGCCAACAGCAAAGCCCATCCTTGTCTTCTGTGACATCTTTAATAATATTCAAGAGGTTGGAAAGGGTTGATTAAAGGGTTTCTGAAGTTACAATTACCACAGCTGCTTTACTTGATATTACTTTCTGGGTAATTACTTCGTAGTGAACTTGAGTGTGGATCTTGCGAAACCTCGTGTTAGGACGACTGAAAGATATTCAAAATGAAATAGATTTGAGTATGTCTGGAGCTCTGATATTAACCTGGAAATATTATCAGTGAAGCATAAATGTTCTAGCTCATATTACACAGCAATCTGGCATTAGTTCTGAGAAATTCAACTTGAAGACTAATTAATTTGATGGATATACAAATAAGCATGACTGGTAATTCCCATATATCACAGGCTTGAGGCGAGAAAATAGATAAAGCTACTAACAATATAAAGTGGATGGTAAATTGGAATTAATTCAGTGGTGAATTGGGCTTTTGGGTCCAAAACATAAAAGAGGAGATTGCTTGGGGCCGCTATTGAGGCCCTGGAAAAATCTACCAGGAAAATTGTTTGACAAGTAAATCCTGAACCAATAAGAGTGAAGGTCAGGTATG